AAATTAAAGGTAGGAACTTAGCTAAATAATATAGGTTTTTGTATTGGGTAATATTTACAAACAATTTTGAGGATTTGAAAAACATTTGGCAATCTATTTTATATTGAAAAGAATTAAGGGATCGAAGTAAATTGATTAGAACTTATTTCAGAGGTCCAAAATAGATTTAGAAATAATGCAATTATTACATGCACAGAAAATGAATACTTTTGGAACTTTAAATCAATATTATATATTGCATGCTTAAAACGTATAAACTAGCATTATTTTAAACATTTTTTGAAATAATTCTAGTTTATAATGAGAGAGTGATTGCAATGCTTAGGAAGAAAGCATACAACGTATTAAACGCATTAAAATCGCGATAGAACAGGAGACCGTTGAAGGAGAATATTTTTTAGGTTAGAGGTAATTTTATAGCAGTCGATTAAGTTAAGTTTTAAAAACATTTTGTAAACTATTTTTGAAAAAGCCTGCCAGAGAGAAACACAAAAACAAAGAAAAAGCTATGCTGAGCCACATAAAAAGACGAGAGGGAGAGAGAGAGAGCGAGAGTGAGAGGTAAAAATAGCTATAGAGATAGACACTAAGCAAGAATAATGCGTTACATGGAACTGCACTAAGCACCAACATTTTTGGCTGCCTTTTCACAAGCAGCGAATTCCTTTTTTTATGCGTCACACGGCTGCACGGCAAGGAGCGAGGGAGAACAAGTGCGAGAGAGAGAGAGAGGGAGAGGAAGGCAGAGTTGCGACACAAACAAGTTGAAAGCAACTCAAGTTCCCGTTAGTTGACTCAAAGAGTGGGCGTGCGGCATGTCGCCTGCGCCTAGACAAATTACCAAAGAGCAGCGACTGCAGCTGAAGCCATCCGTCAGCTCGGAAAAGGGACACAGCACCGACACGAGCACAGAGCGAAGGATCCTCCAAGGGAATTTTTTCGGATTTTGGGTCTAGCAAAAACTCAATGCAAATGTTGTCCAAAAATGGAGCCTTACGCCTTTAGCTAATTAGTCAACCAGGGGCCCACACGCAGCAGCAGCAACAACACACGATAACAACAACAACAACAACAACAACAAACGGGCACCAATTAAATGCTTAAGCTGAGTTTCTGGTCTGCTTGTCATAAATTTTGACTGATTATGCGTATTCGTCTTTGTCGCTGCACTGTCCCAAGGAACCATTGTCCCTGGCTAACAGTAACCCTACTTCAGCCAGTGCTGACACCGAAAAAAAGAGCTAGGTCTATAAAAAATAGTAGCAAAAGTTAAACTATAGAGCAAAAATAAGCTTAAGCTTATTTGTCTTAAATTAAATAAATATTTACACAAACCAACTAAAAGTTTCTTTAAATATAACTTTAAAAACCTCAGAGAAGTATCAAAAACAAGCCAGCTTCCTCAAAAAATTTTAGCTTTAATATAGCCAAAGTTGGCGGGAAAGTAGCAACAGTGTCAACACTGAGAGCAACCTCTATCAGTTCCCGCTCACCCCTCCCCTTATACATCCTTCTCTCGCACTTCCTTTGGCTTGCTTTTTGCGTTTCAAGTGAAGAAATTTCTGCGTTTTGCTCCGCCCCGCCCTGCCGCATCGCCCCCTACCCATGCGCCTGCCCCTGCCCCTGCCACAGCCCCTTGAGCCAGTGTCCAAACGCAATTCATCATTCAATTAGATTGACCGCAGAGCCGCATTTCAAAGTTCGTCGACATCTTCTTCGAGTGTTTGTTTTAAAGGTCCACGGCAAAGCCTTTAATGCAATTTTTGGCCGCTGCCATCGATTATCCTTTCAATAAAACGCCTCGAAAATAAAAACCAAATAACAAAAAATCCCACCACTCGATGCCACGCATTTGTTTTTGTTTCTCTTGTTTCTTCTGTGTAAATCTCGCGCTTGATTTATGCTCTAGCTTAAAAGCCAATTGATGTGGAGAGCAAAGGAGCTGCTAAACTGGGTTTGAGTCGAGCGAGCAGAGAGATCCCGTTGCATATTCTGCACGTACACTTCACCCACTCTCTCTCTCTCTCTCTTTGTCCCGCTCCCACTCCCGTTTCGTTGGCGGCGGCTTAAGCGTTGCTTTGACACAAAGTCAAAAAATGCCGCGCACATGCCAAGTGCCAAGCATTGCAGACATAGAGATGTGTCCCTCTCCCACTCTCCCACTCCTCCACTCTTCCACTTTGCTGCTGCACTCCTCTCTCTTTAACTCCTTGCAGCTTAGTATGCCAGCGGCTCAGCCAATATACTGTAAAGTGATTTATGTCATGTCCATGCATAGCATGCAAAAGTGCGCCTCTCTCTCGCTCTCTCTATCTCTTTCTTTCTTGCGTGAACTCTAATTGAGGCGATGTTTGCCTTGAGGACAGCTAAACAATTTCAAAAATATTGTGAAATTCAACTAGTTGTCAACGTAATATGAGAGGCACACACGTTTACACACACACATATACATATATACGGATATGTATGTATGAATTTATATCAGTCCATCAAATGCGCAACAGCCTGAAACGCCTTTGATTAATTAACACGGTCGAACATAGCTGATAACAAAATCGAAGCAAAAAATATACAAAACGAAAAAAAAGGAAGGCAGAACGCTGCAGCCGGGCATTACTGACTGGCAAATACCTGCTTAGACTTGTTGTTATACTCAAGAGTTTATAGTTAGAAGTTATAGGCTAAGTATCAGATTATATACATATTATATCAACGATCTATACTTTAATCTGTTCTGCAATGAAATACATACTAAGCCAAACCCATATACTCTCCTTTCTCTTCTTCGTCTAGTCTGAAAATAGACTTAAGCTCTAATAAACGAGCCCAACATCGAATTGAGATGTTTTTCTTTTTATTTGTTATTGTTCACGATTATTTTGTTTATTGATTTTTGATTTTTCTGTGCACTACACACGCACAAAAAATGGGAAGGGCTATGGGAATAGATGAATGATTGGGTGTTTGAGGGTAAACAACGCAAGTTAGATAAGCTTTATAGTTTACTCGGAGCAAATTAGAGCTTGATAAGCAAAAATTTAAGTAAGAAGTGAAATAAAACTTGTCATATAAATAACTCAATATAATAATCATAAATATGAATGAAAATAATTGTAAAAAAAAAAAATAATATTAATAACGTAATTATTTTTAACATATTAATATTATTTTTTCTCTTTATATAATTATCAGTAATACATATATTATCTATATTAAATATGGAATATATACCTTACCTAATATTAAGTTCTATCTTTATGGCTTCTTAAGCTTTGCTATTTATTTGAATAAATCCACGACTCATTAGAGATTACCCAAAGTCTATCTGAATCGAATTGTTTCAACTCACACAAAAGAATCTAAGATCATGTAAATAAATGCATATACATTTTATACTATGTATGTATCACTCAATGTCTCTGGGGCTCTTCAGCTCTTTTGCAAACAATTGAGATTAGTTGTGGATATCTGAAATGTTGCTCCTTCTACTTGTTTGGATTCTGTGTTTACTTAACTGGTAGACAGGTAGAGAGCTGGCTACCTGTCAGATCTGAGAATTGTGTGTGATATTTTACAGATCTAAATGTATTTTACTGTATCAATTGCTAGACTTCTACTGCTGCTTCTACTTCCACTATCTCTTCTTCCTCGTCTTCTGGGTTGAGACATACATCAATTTGGGTCTTTGTACAACAGCTTGAATAATTTGTTTGTGCTTCTTGTGGTTGGGTTTTCGGGGGTCTTGAATTTGAGTTTTTAATTAACGCCACGAATTTGTTTGCTTGCGCTTGCACTTGATAGAGAAAGAGACAGAGAGAGACGGAAAGAGATGAGAGGTCGATTTTTTTATTTTATTTTTTATTTTCATTTGATTTTTGGGAATTCTACTTTTATTTTGCTTTCGGGGCAAACGGTTGCCATGGCAAGTTTCATTTCGGCAACATTCTTTGCTGGCTAATTCAACATTTTGCATGCTGCAACAAATATATATGTATATATATAGCAAATTCCACCAAAAAGCAGCGTCCTGACAACAAAAAACTAATAAGCAACTGCAGAGAGGCGAGCTGAGAATGTGGAGGCGGGGCGTGGGCGACTGTTACAACAGGTGAGTGGGCACACGTGGCAGCCGCCACGGCAGCACCAGCAGCAGCACCACCAACAGCACCAGCAGCAGCGGCAGCCAGGAGCCATCTTATATAGCTGCAAATGTTTAGCTGGCACACGGCTCAATCTCTGTCATCCTCTGAGAGTTATGCTTTATACAAATTCCACTGTTGGCCGCCGTCTCCCCCACGCCCCGCATTTGACTTTTGGCAATAACTGTGAATGGCTGGTTGCCAGCGCAACAGCAAATGCAAAGGGGGGGCGAGAAGCTGGCTGCGCCGATTTCTTAGCGCTCGTTTTTTCTCGACTATCGCCTATCGATAGGCGCCGCATAACAGGCGCCAAAAACAACTGCTGCCTATCGACTTGAGTGTCCCCCCACCCCATTGGCCCAGCCGACACACACACACACGTGCAATGCTTACGTTTTTGTGGGCGGCGCTTGCATTACGCACAGCAAGCGCTTACTATCTCGCTCTGACTTGCAGCTGCGCAGTGGTCAGAGCGCGACAGCTAGCTATGCTCAGTGCTGCTCGCGTTAAGATGGCAGCTGCATGCTATAGCCGTCTCTGTCTTGCGCACGGCACACATCCGCCTTGCAAATCAAAGCAGTCGGCAGATAGAAAAGCAGATAACGCGCGCCTTACCCGCTTTTCGCATTTCGTTTTCGTTTTTCACTTGTCGATTGTTTGGCACGCCAGCCAGCCAGCTATTGCCAGAGAGGGGGGGTGAGCGAGTGGGCGGATGGGTGTATTGGGTGTTGGCGATTGAAATCATTGTTGTCGTCAGCGTCAGCGCCAGCGCCGGTGTTGGCATCGGCGTCGTCGTCGGCGTCAACGTTCTGCGTCAGCGTCAGCTTCAGCACTAACGTTATCATCATCGAGTCAATTCGTTTTGATTTTTTCGCATTTGTCTCAAATGCGAGCGAGTCGCTGAACAAACGCTACGCGTAACGTTACGTATCGCAAAACGCCGTCGCTAAAAAGGCTAAGAAACCGTTAGACGGGTTAACATAAACCGGAAGCAAAGTCAATTCCCATCGGACGCTCGACTAATTCTGACATCCAAAATGCCAAAATGTGCAAAAAGAAGTGCTTTCTAAGCGTGTGTCTGTGTGCGTGTGGGCGTGTGTGTACGCGTGTGTTGGTAAACGACAAATGCAGCTGCTATAATTGATTCTCAGCTTAGCATACATATACATACATACATATACAAACAACAACAGCACCAAGATAACCGCAGTCTAGCTAAATTGCGGGACTTTTGTCCAGCTGTCAGTTGGTCAAACATTTCATCAATAAACGATACAATTTCCGTTCTATTGCGTGCTTACCTTCAACGTGTCTCCGAGTGTGTGTGTGTGCGTGTGCGTTAGTGTTAATGTGCGTGTTGGCAAACTTTTCAACTTCCGGCCAAGTGACTTCGTTTTAATTTCTTTTGGCATTCATTTTTGTTTTTATGGTCAAAGGCATTTAATTAATTTTACTATGGCAATTTGAACGTCTTGCCTTTGGCCTGAACTTTGACCCCGAAGTCGGTTAACTTTTGGCTACGGCCATAGCTGTTCCTGCTCCTGCTGCCGCTGCTGCTGCTGGCCTGCTCTACATACGAGTCCAGACTTTGGCCACACAGAAAGGCAACGGGGTCGCCAGGTGAGTGACGAAAGCTAAGACTTGCCTGAATTTCCAATCAACTATTTGAGCAGCTGCAAATTAGATTTGTTTTGATTTGTCGCCTGAAACAGAATGAGAGAAGATCTATTGTTGGTTTTGCGGTAGAGACTTAAATTGAGTTTTGTGTATTTAATAAGTAGCCGTAAGTGGCACTAAGGAAGCTTCAATTTCTTGTTTTAGTTTCCTAAAACTTCTTACAATCAAATTTAAGCAGCTGCAAATGTTTTTTATTTTATTTCGCAAAGAGATCTTGTATTATAATATATTATATATATCTTGCGCGTAGCTGAGATAGAGAATAAGGCATCAGTGTAAAATGTTTAACTATTTGAAAGACCTTTCTAGTTTTACATTCAAATATTACTTATAATATGAGTAGATTATATTATGCTTTATATATGCGAGTTTTTCATTCAAATATTACTTTTATATAAATATTTTAGCTTATTATTTCATTGATTCGTTAAAGCTAAACCGATTTAAAAGGCCTATAAAGGAGGAGCGATTACATCTCCTTCTACTTTTCCTGCATTCTCTAAATTTACGTTAGACATAATGTTCAAGTTCTTTACTAAGTAAAGTTCTCTTCAACTACATAATTAGCCCTTTCCAGATTTTAGCTTCTCTGCTCTCTGTATGGCCCATTCTTTTAATTATCATTTATTTGCTATAAGAGTAGAGAGTGAGAGTAGACATTTGGAATGTATACATCGATTTCTTCTCTGTCTAGATTTCCAACATTTCAATCGTCTTTCTCCCGTTTCAGCTCCGCCATTCATCAAATGATTGAAATGTAAACGAGTTGCACATGAAATTTACTACACTGTGATAGACGAAGTATACGAGCAGACATCCCATTGGAGTCTGCCCCAACAGCTGCGATTCAATTTAATTGAATTTCAATAAGAATTAAGTAAGCACAGAGAGAGGAGAAAAAGCGACAAACTGTCGACGCTATCCATACGCAACTTTTCGGCAAGCATGCTGAACAATCTTGGGGCCAATGTGCTGGGTAAGTGCAAAGTAAATATAAGAGAAAGAGAGAAAGAGAGAGAGAGAACTATATACAAGATAGTTGCTAATATATAATAATAAATGCATTAAACTCGCTTCGATTGGCCATAATTAAACTAATTTTTTGAACATACTGTGAGTGTGCGTGTGTGTCTGTGTGTGTGCGTTTGTGTGTGTGTGCACCTTACTTCCGATTCACAGAGTCTCCGAGAGCAATATCTACTGCTAAATGGCCTATAATTGATATGTCCGAGCGAGGCTATAGCTGGCGCTTGCATTTAGCAATAATTAAGTTGTATTTAACTAAATTCTTTATTATTATGATTAGCTGTAAAGCAGGTGTGCACACACACACACACGCACACACCTGTTAATTGGCATAATTGCCCTCTTACATGCTTCTCCCCAAACATACATAATTATCAGTTTATATTTATGCACCACTCATATATCTATGGCAATTTTTTCCAAACCGCATTGTTGATCAATTTTTCAAGCACTTTCAATTTCGGCAATCAAATTTTATAGCTGCAAATGCAACTTGCTGCAACTTTTGCTGCCGCCGCTGCTGCTGCTGCTGCTGCACTCGAATGAATTATGTGGCGCGCTTTTATTGAATATATTTTTCGCCTTTCGCCTTTCCGTAATTAATTACTTTTATTAATTTATTACCATGCAATATGAGCAAATTGCTCTGCTGTGCGGCTAACGCGGCGTATGCGCAATTTATGCTTTTGCACTTTTTTTTCACAACTGTTTCATTGCTTCCGACAAAGAGAATCATGTTCCATGTAAATAATTTGTGTAAGAGTTGTAAATTACTGCAAATATTGGTATTTAATAAATAGTTGTTTTCAATAAATAGTTAAATATTTATGGCTTCGCAAGCGAATCTGGTAAAAATATGTCTTTGGTAGAAATTCTTTTGATAGTGGACAAATATTTTTTTAATAAATATATAAGCTTTAATGAAAATATTCCTTTAATCTTAATGAAAAGCACTATAAATATTTTTAAAATATTTCTTAAAGCGAAAATTTGTTTTGAAAATATTTTTCTATGTAAACTAACTTCCATTGGCTTTAAAATAAAGCAGAGTTTATTTGCCTAGAATATAAAAAATAAATAAATCAGGAACAGAAAATCTATTAAAATACTGCATAGCAAAGCAAACAATAAAAACTCGTCTTAGCTAAAAAAAAATCCAGAATTTTGCATACATATATAAATTTAAATATAATTAATATAAAATATATATAATATTCATATTTTTCAAAATATATCATAGGACAATAATATTTATTTAAAATCTTTACAAAATAAGGCAGTCTTTACATAGAAACACTTTATAGAAAGTACGCTCGTTGGAGGTCCATCTGAGTATTAAGTCTTCTTACTTAAGTCTTCCTTGATTTATATCAAACGTATTTCTGCAGCAAGATACGTTAATTTTGTATCTTCAGCTGCAATACTATGGAAGCATTTTCGACTTACGACATGCTCGAGAGACCACACCTATCATAGTCACTAATATATGTATAGATCTTTAGAGTTATCTGAACTTGATTTGATACGCCTCATTCAAACTGCACTCTACATATACATATGTGCATATATCTCGCGCATGACCAACTAGAGTATGCACTAGCCCTACATACCCAGTGCTTCAATTGCAAGCGCTTTAACACTACGCGCTTCGCTCCGCTATAAATTTCAATAATATTTTGTCAGCCAAAGCGAAAAATCCTTCAGTTGTGGTTTTTGGTTGCTCCTTTTTTTTGGGACAAGTGAAATCCTTTGCCGACTGCAGATGTTTTCTGCACAAAACTAATAAATTTCATAAGCTCAACAACAGCAGCAACAACAACAACAACAATAAACTGTCAACTACAACAACAGCTTGGCGAAAGCAACAGACGCGCGACAACAATTTGCATATTACGTATACGCAGCGTGGGCCACAGCCAGTTGCCAGTTGAGTTGAGCGAGAGGGAGATAGAGAGAGGGGAGAGGGCGAGGTGCGCTGGCCCCAGGCTTGCTCAATTAAGCACAATTTGCATGCGAAAAGCAAGGAGCGCGCGCGAGCGACATCTAAATGTTCCCCATTTTGGACCAAAATAAAACAAGAACGACAACAACAACAACAAGAAAAAAAACTTTAAATCGTTTCGACAAAACATTTCGACTCCAACGCGAATCTCGCTCGCTCATTGTGACGCAACTTTTTGCATGCCCTGGGCTTAATTAAATTAATTTCACGATTGCATTTGTAATTTTTCTGCCTGCCTGCCTGCCAGCTAGCCACGCCCACGCGCAGTCAACTATGCCGGCTTGTGCGTTGGCATTTTTGCGGTCGCCTGTTGAAATATGTGAATTCGCGTTGCCCTCATCGAGCTGCCCTCGCCCCCAGCCATGTCCACGCCCACAGCTTCGCTTTGTGCCAGGCTTCAAATTTGTATCGAAATGTTTTGTGGCTGCTGCAACTGTTGCTGCGGTTTCTCTGGCCTACCTAACGCTACCCCGCCCTCTATCGCTCTCGCTCTCTCTCTCTCTCCCACTCGTGCAAGCGCCCGGCGAACCGCACAATTTCCAAATTTCAATAATTATGCACAGTGCGTTTGTAGCTGACGTTCTGAATGCCATAGTCCTTGCTAGTCCTGGCTGCCATATATTTTGCGGCAGATATTTGCATTTAGTGCAACAACTGCAACGGCCGCCGCAGCAGCCACTGCAACTGCAACTGCAACTGCAGCTGCAGCAGCCGCTAAACTGATTGTGCAAATTGCTTGCGCGATAAATTCATGTTTGCCAATTTTAATTAATTAATCGCTTTGTGCGGTTTTCAACGCCCAGCCAAAATGGCCGCCCCACTGCCCATGCACACACACACGCACACACACACACACACTCACACATATACATGCATTCGTGCACCTTTATATTGCGTTTACAGCGCATTCAACTAATGTCACAGCAATGCGATTTCACATTAGACAATTAGAGACTTTTACATCAATGATTGATTCCATAGAAAGAGAGAGAGAGGGAGAGAGGGAGAGGGAGAAATAGAGTGAAAGATAGTGATATTATAATGAATATGAAAGGGAGACGACGAGGAAAGAGCAGAAGAGAGCTGCGCCGGAATATACTGGAAATTGGGATAAAAGGAATCAGAATAAATATAGAAAAAGAGAGAGAAATAGGAGAGAGTTACATTTATGCTATGAAAAAGAGATAGATATATGTATATATGAAATTATAAGGAGATCAAAATGAATGAAGGATGAAGAAAATATAGATAGACAATGGAGAAGCAAGCGGGAAAGAGAGAGAGAGAGAGAGAGAGAGAGAGAGAGAGAAACAGAGAGAAAGAAAGAAATCATAAACATACATTCTTTTTTGTATACAGAGACAGAGAAAGAAACATAAGTACAAAGAATGAAACATAAGCACATGAAAAGATATAAATGAATATCGTGAGTGTGACATAGAGAGAGAGAGAGAGAGAGAGAGAGAGAGAGAGAGAGAGAGAGAGAGAG